CTGAGAATGACAAATTGAAGAGGAATGGCATGGCATTCATCATCACAAAGAAGTACAATGCTGTCAGTGATAGGATAATATCCATTTGCCTACAAGGAGCTCAGGTGGTGTAGTGCCTAAGGCATTTAACTGCTAACCAGAAGGCTGGTGGTTCAAATCTACCAGCCACTGCTTGGAAGGAAGATTGGCAATCTACTTCCATAGAGATACTGCCTCAGAAACCCAAAGAGGGGTTGCTATGAGTTGGAAATGACTCAATGGCAGTGAGGGTTTTTTTTTTTTTGGTTTAAAAGAAAGACCAGTTAATGCTACTATTATTCAAATTTACGCATCAACCACCAAAGTCAACGAAGAAATTGAAGAGTTTTACAAACTTCTGCACTCTGAAATCGACCAAACATGCAATCAAGATGTGTTGATTATTGCTGGTGATTGGAATGCGAAAGTTGGAAACAAAGAAGAATCACTGGTAGTTGGAAAATATGGCCTTGGTGATAGAAATAACCCTGGAGATTGCATGATAGAATTTTACAAGACCAATGACTTATTCTTTGCAAATAACCTTTTTTCAACAACATAAATGGTGGCTATGCACATGACCTTGCCAGAAGACAAGTGGAAAGAGGTGATGGAGAAGCTCAATATCTTCAGCCAAAACAAGACCAGGAGCTAACTGTGGAACAGACCATCAACTGCTCGTATGCATGGTCAAGTTGAAGCTGAAGACAATTAAAACAAGTCCATGAGAGCCAAAATATGATCTTGATTATATCTTTTCTGAATTTAGAAGCCATCTAAAGAGTAGATTTGATGCATTGAACACCAATGACTGAAAACCAGAGGAATTGTGAGATGACACCGAGAACATCATTCATGAAGAAAACAAAAGGTCATTAAAAAGACAAGAAAGGAAGAAAAGACCAAAATGAATGTCAGAAGAGAGTCTGAAACTTGCCCTTGAATGGAGAGTAGCTAAACCATGTGGAAGAAATGAGCTTGCATTTCTGGAAGTTCTCTTTCAATATACTACTGCAACTGTTTCAGTAAGATTTTACTTGCATGCAGTATTAATGATATTGTTGGATAATTTCCACATTCTGTGGGATCACCTTTCTTTGGAATGGGTACAAGTATGGATCTCTTCCAGTCAGTTGGCCAGATAGCTGTCTTCCAAACCTCTTGGCATAGCCAAGTGAGTGTCTCCAGCGGGGCATCCGTTTGTTTAAACATCTCAGTGGGTATCCCATCAATTCCTGGAGCCATGTTCTTTGCCAATTCTTTCAGTGCAGCTTCAACTTCTTCCTTCAATACCACTAGTTCCTGAACATATGTCACCGCCTGAAATGCAGACCAACCATTTCTTTTTGGTACAGTGACTCTGTGTATTCCTTCCATCTTCTTTTGATGCTTCCTGCATCATTCAGTACTTTGCCCATAGAATCTTTTAATATCGCAATTCAAGGCTTAAATTTTTTCCCTTAGTTCTTTCAGCTTGAGCAATGCTGAGCATGTTCTTCCCTTTTGGTTTTCTAACTTCAGGTCTTTGCACATTTCATTATAGTAACTGGCTTTGTCTTCTTGAGCTGCTCTTTGCAATCTTCTGTTCAGCTCTTTTATCTTGTCATTTCTTCCATTTCCTTTAGCTACTCTTTGCTCAATGGCAAGTTTCAGAGTCTCTTCACAGCATCCATTTTGGTCTTTTCTTCTTTTCTTGTGTTTTTAATGACATCTTGCTTTCTTTATGGATGATGTTGTTGATGTCATCCCACAATTCTGGTTTTCAGTCATTGGTGTTCAGTGCATCAAATCTATTCTTTAGATGCTCTCTAAATCCAGAAGGGATATATTCAAGTTCATATTTTGGCTCTTGTGGACTTGTTTTAATTGTCTTCAACTTCAGGTTAAACTTGCATGTGAGCAGTTGATGGTCTGTTCCACAGTCAGCTCCTGGCCTTGTTTTGGCTGAAGATATTGAGCTTTTCCATTGCCTCTTGCCACAGATGTAATCAATATGATTCCTGTGTGCTCCATCTGGTGAAGTCCACGTGTATAGCCACTATTTGTGTTGTTGATAAAAGTTATTTGCAATGAATAAGTCGTTGGTCTTGCAAAATTCTATTATGTGATCTCCAGCATTATTTCTGTCACCAAGGCCAAATTTTCCAACTACTGGTGATTCTTCATTGTTTCCAAGTTTTACATTCCAGTCACTAGTGATAATTAATATATCTTGATTCCATGTTTGGTCAATTTCAGACTATGAAAGTTGATAAAAATCTTCAATTTCTTCATCTTTGGCTTTGGTGGGTGGTGCATAAATTTGAATAATAGTAGTATT